AAACAAAACAATAAAAAACCAAACTAATAAAATAAAAAGGGAAGGATATAGCTCAATGATAGAGTGCTTGCCTAGCACACAAAAGTGGCCCTGGGTTCAATTTCTAATACTGTTCTCAAAAGCAAACAAACAAAAACTTTAAAAGAAGGGCCTGTTATATGAATCACTCTGATAACTATCACTTTAACTTTTTATTACATTCAAGAACTTTTTCCAGGCGTGGTGGCTCATGCCTGTATTCCAGCACAAGAGGTGCTGAGATGAAGGTAGGAGGAACCAGAGTTTAAAACCATCTTCAACCACAGAGCTAGTGCAAGGCCGGCCTCCTTCTCAGCTGATTGTGATCCTGCCTTTTTTTTTTTTTGGTCTTTTTGAAACAGGGTCTATAGTGCCTGTTGGCTGGGAACTTACTATGTAGATCAGGCTGGCCTTTAACTCAAAAGAAATCCACCTGCCTCTGTCTCCCATATGCTGGGGATTAAAGGCATATGCCTCCACACCCAGCTGTGATCCTGTCTTAAAAAAAAAAAAAAAAGACCATTACCATGCTAAATAAATACCCAGATGTCTAAGAATTGTCATTCCTCCATTTGATTCAAGAGTGAAGGGTGCAAAAGGGGAGATACTCAGTGGTGAAGCCCTTGCTGCTCAGAGCGGTCACTCTCCAGCACCCACGCAAAAGCTAGGCGTGGGAGCATGTGTAGCAGCAGTGTGCACTTGCAACCCCAGTGCTGTGGGGGCAGATCCTTGGGACTCACTGGCAGCCAGTCTATCCTAAATGGTAAGCTCCGGCCTCAGTGAGAGACCCTGTCTCAACAAAATAAGGTTAAGATGAATGGGAGCACATACCTGGAACTCCAGCTTCTCTGAAGGCTGAGGCATGAGGACTCCTGAGCTTACAGGTTCAAATCCACCCTGGGCAACAACACTGAGAACCAGACATCTTCCCTCTCTGCCAAGAAAGTTCTCTCTACTTCTGTATATGTTTGAAACTGTCCATAAGAGCCCTGGGTTCAGTTCCCAGCATCTATATGGTGGCTAACAACTGTCCTTAATTCCAGTTCCAGGTGATCCGACACCCTCTTCTGGCCTCCATGGGCACTGCACACATGCATTCACTTACATGGAGACACTCATAAAACCAAAATAAATTTTTAAAAGTTTTAAAGAGGGTAAAATTAAAAGCCAGGTATAGGGGCTAGAAAGGCAGCACAGAGGTTAAGAGCACTTGCTTCTCTTGCAGGGGAGCCAGGTTCTGACCTACACTCACAAATACACACACACACTTTTTTTTTTTTTTTTTTTTTTTTTTTTTTTTTTTTAGTCTCCCTGTAGCCTCAGCTGGTCTGGAGCTCACTATGTGAACTAGGGCTGGCTTCCATCTTGCAGAGATCCACCTGCCTCTGCCTCCCTAGTGCTGGGAAAATAGAAAATTTTTAAGGTTAATTGGTGGGCTGGGCAGGTAGATCTCTGTGAGCTCAAGGATATCCTGGCCTACATAGTGTTCCAGGCTAGTCAGGGCTACATAGTGAGATCCTGTCTCAATAAAATAAAATTTTAAAAAAGGTAATTGATGGGGTGTTGGGAGGGGTGTTCAGTGGTAGAGTGCTTGCTTTGCACGCTCAAGGCACTGGGCTTAATTACTAGTACAAGCCAAAAAAAAAGGAACTGCCACTGGAAGTTCAAAGATGCTAAAATCAAGCCCAGGTGCAAAAGGACAGGGGGAGAAGCACCTTCGTACAGCACTGCCACGCAGCTTCGCTACAGAAACCACAGCCAAGTCTCTGGGTTACTTCAAAAGAGCACTCACCGTGCAATTAAATGGCTTGTTAGGCTGGATCTGAACTCGACATACTACAAAGCCAAACTTCTATAAACCACGGACTCCTTCCCACCAGCTCAACGCACTCACCTATCCGGTAACAATCTGCTTATACCCAGTAAGGGTTTCAACAAGTAACTACAGAATGAAAGCTGTACTGACAGGGTCCCAGGTAGCTCAGGCTGCCTTTGTTCTCCCTATGTAGTAGCCCAGACTTAAACTTCTTCCTCTACCAAATGCTGCCTTACAGGCTTGCCCTACCACACTGACTTTTTCTTTTGAGATAGGTTCTGGCTATGTAGCCCAGGCTGGCCAAGAACTCCCTGGTGCTGTGATGACATGCACACCCCACAACAGAGGAGACACATCTTGTTTTCTGTCAGTTTATTTCTGGCTTTCAGCTTCCCATTCTGTCTCCAGAAAAAGAAGAAAGGATTTTCAAAACTAAACAGTAAATACACAAGTAATAGCTGAGGAACCAAAGCAAATCTTTAGCCAAATACCAAAGGTGACTGAAACATTAATCAGGACAGGATATAGACTGAGGCATACTTGTGAGACAGGACATGAGGCAAGACAGTCCCCACACTGACCCTCCTGGGAAGGAGAGGCTTATCTCCTCGTCTAACCCTTGCAGGGCAGCCTGGGTTCTGGTTCCTCAGGGCCAGTCCTCCCCCACGATGGCAGCCATCATCATATACATCAGGACCACTGGGCTCCCAGATGACCTGGTGACGTGCCTGGCTTTGTGCTCACCTAAGCATAAGTGCCACACACACAGTTAAGAAGATAACCTGAGAGTTAAATGAGCTCAAATAATGCTTGGGGGGAAAAAAAATCTGTGAGACTAGGCTGGAGAGATGGCTTAGCATATATTGCTCTTGCAGAGGACCTAAGTTTAGTTTCCAGCACCCAGGTAGAAGCAGCTCACAACTGCATGTAACCCCAGTTGGGGGGTAGGGGGGTGTCCAACGATGCCCTCTACTGGCCCCTTCGGGCACCTGCGCTCATGTGCACATACCCTCAAAGGACAAAGACAACAATAAAAAAAATAAATCCTTGCTGGCCAGCCAGTCTAGTGAATTGGTAAACTGAGTTCAGTGAGACCTTGCCTTAAAAAGGGGGAGGAGGGCGCTAGAGAGATGGTTCAGTGGTTAAGGGCATGCATTGTTTTTCTGGAGGACCAGAGTTCTGTTCCCAGGACCCATGTCAAGCAGCTTATAACTACTTATAACTCCAGAGGTTCTGACACCTCTGACCTCTGCGGGCACCTGCACACACAATTTAAAAAATAAATGTTGAAGAAAACCTGTGTTTGGTGGTTCACACCTGCAATCCAGAACTTAGGAAATGGAGACAGGAGGACTGCCATGAGTATGAGACCTGCCTGAGCTATACAGGAGTTCCAGGCCAGTACAGGATACACTGTGAAGTCCTGTCTCAAACAAAACATTCCAACTGCAAATAAATAACCAAGGGTTCGAAAATGAGCTTCACAGCCAAGATGTAGGTCTTAACATAATGTCTTTTATCTTAAATAAAATACAGTGCAACAAGACAGGCAGGGTGCTAACAGCTGTAATCCTGGAAGAAGGATGGGTTCTAGCTACATAATGAGTTCTAGGTTTGTCTGGCTACATGAGAACCTGCATCAAAATAAAACAAAAAAACCCAAACACACAAAAGAAAACAGTAAAATAACAGTGACACTAAGTAGGAGCCCCTTAAGAATGCTTTATGTTCTAAGCCAGCAGTGGTGGCACACACCTTTAATCCCAGCACTTGGGAGGCAAAGGCAGGTGGATCTCTATGAGTTCAAAAAGGCCAGCCTGGTCTACATAGTGAGCTCCAGGTCAGCAGGGGCTACAGGGAGACCCTGTCTCAGTAAGACCAAAAAAAAAAAGTTCTAAGCTGACAACTATACTGACAACTAGCTGACACCTAGATTTAACTCCCAACATCAGGGAAACTAAGGCAGGAGAATCGAGAATTCAAGTTTAGCTTGAGCTGTTCTTATTTTTCCCCATTTCGATATTAACCAAATCAACACCTAAAGAAACGGGTGCTGGAGAGATGGCTCAGCGATTAAGAGTACTGGCTGCTCCTCTTGCAGAGGATCAGGGTTGGGTTCCCAGCACCCACATGGTGGCTAACAACCCTCTGTAATTCCAGTTCCGGGAGATCAGACACCCTCTTCTGACTTCCACGGGTGCTGCACTTACATGTAGGCAATGCACTCATAGACATAAAATTTTTAAAAAATGAACAAAATATTAAAAAAATAAAGAAATGGACGCTTGTTCTCTCGGCATGAAGATTCGAAAAGGGCTGAAAACACACGCTATCAGCTGTCGTCAATAAATGACTTTAGCAGCCAGGCTCCCAGGTCCCCGGAAGGCAGAAATGATGTCCGTAAAACCGGTCACCATAGAAGAGCAGGTAAAGCCAGCTGCACACCCAACAATTCTAAAAAACAACATACCGAAAGAGGGGTCAGCTCTACAGACCCGAGGCAAAAAGAGAGGAAGCTGCAGACGGGAGCCTGACAGGGTCAGCCGGGCAATGTGTGGCTCTGCACATCGCTGGGCAGATACGCTTCTACAAGGGAAACAGACACCCGGCTATACTCGACCTGTCCTCCCATACGGCCCTCGAGGGGTCCGGGCTGGTCAGCACTCGAGTCCTCGGCCGGGAGACCGGGATGTCCCGCTTGGCTCTCCCCCGGCTGCTCCAGCACTTCCGATCCTCCGCCACCCCCGATGCCCCACAGACGGGGCTCCCCTACTTAGGAGCGAGGAGAGCAGGGGGCCCCCACGCCCCTGAGGACTTCCATGGACACTGTCACGGTCACGCCCCTCACCTTCCTCGCTCACGTCGTCCACGAAGTCCTCGGGGTCGCTGAAGGAGGGCTCGTCCGCCTCGCCGTTCTCCACCGCCCGCGGCTCAGCCTCGGCCGCGCTGCCCTCGGGCCCACCCTCCTCGTCCGCCTGCTCCCCAGCGGGCTCAGCCTTCCCGGGCCCAGAGGAATCGACCTGCACCGAGGATCGCTCCGCCAGCTGCGGCGGGGGCGACGCGGCCGGACTCCTCGTCGCCGTCTCCTCCTCGCGTGGGGCCGCCGGCTCGGCCCTCACCTCCGGCTCCGACCTGGCCTTGGCCTCTTCCGTCCGTGCCGCGTCGGACGCGCCAGGCCCCGCCGGCTCGTCTTCGGGCGGCGGCTCGGAGACCGGCTGCTGCCTCGAGGGCTCGGCCCGCTCCTCAGCCGCCTCCGGCGCCGCCACGTTCTCAGCGTCCTGCATGAGCCCGCGCTGCTTCTCACCCGGCTTGGCCGCCGTGCTTCCGACTCCCAGGAAGCACCGCGCGCCGCTAGCGCGGAGCCATGTGCGAGCAGCAGGGAGGTCGTACTAAGAGGCGGCACGGGGGACACACCCACGCCCTCATGCCTCACAACAATACTACAGAATCTCAGATACACACAAAACATCCAGCAACAATTATAATATTGTATTTCGACCGTGAGGTGGTCATTTCCGGCCAATAAAATTGATTTACGCATTTAATGGCCGCGCTGAGCTATGTGATCCCCCCACGTTGAACAGCGAATGGTTTCATCCAAGATGGCAGTCGCTCCTCTCCCTCTCCCGGCGGGCGCTACGAGGACGGACTGAACTATCTGTGGAGCACGAAGCAGATTCCAGAAGTGATTTTAACACCGCGGAATTGCATGAAAAACAACATGCGACTCAAAAACTAGTGGTATAAAACTTCAAGTTGCAAAAATGATTCTTTCTACGCTATCCTCATTAATACTTAGGCAAACAGCTTGGCTGACATGACTAGATCCCCCCCTGAGTTTTAGACTCATCCACTGACTGGGCAAAAGAACGGAAGGTTCCTAAAGTAGGCGAGTTCGCCGAAAGCCAGAGGCGACCGATTTACAGGGAGAAAGTATGCAAAACCATGTCGTGAGTGACTTTAGTCCCCACGGCCGTCCGCTATTTACCGCACCCTAGCCTTGCTCCCCTCCGCCCCACCCCCCGAAGGTCCCTATGGTTCAAGCTGCCAGACACGGTCGCCCTGGCACGCGGGAGAACGCTGTCACGTGGTGGGGCGTGGTCCACTGGAAAAGATGTTCTGCCCTAGTACCTTTTTTCAAATATTTAATTTTTTTATTTTATTTTACGTGTATGAATGTACTGCCTGCATGTGTGTTAGTGCACCCGTGTCGTGCAATGCTTCCGGAGGTCAGAAGAGGTCAGCCCTAGTATCCGACGTGTCTTGTATTGGGGTGGGCTCTAGAGCTGCTGCTGTTAACGGGATTTTTTTGTTTTTAAATTTTTGTTTATTTTATGTGTATGAGTGTTTTTGCCTGCAGCCAGTGTGTGCAATGTCCACGGTGGCCAGAATAGGCTGTCAGATCCCCAGGGGCTGGAGTTACAGAAGATTGTAAGGAACCCTGAGAGTGGACCAGGCCTGAACCATGGTCCTCTCCAACAAGTGCTCTTAATTATCCCTCTGAGCCATCTTCCTGCCCCTGTTCTGAGATGTTTTGATCAGTAGTTAAGAGCATTGGCTGCTCTTCTAAAGGACCTGGGTTCTGTTCCTAGCACCTATGTGGCAGCCAACAACTGTTAACTCCAGATCTCAGGATTCAGTGCCCTCTTTTGGCCTCCACAGGCATTGCACACACATGGTGCACATACATACATGCAGACAAAACCCTCATACACTTCAAGTGAAAATAAATGCCCCCAAAAAGTTTTTAATATTTTATTTATTATTTTTATCTTATGTGTATGAGTGTATTGCCTGCATGTGTGTGAGTGCACCCATATTGTGCATTGCCACGGAGATGAGAAGAGGGCTTCAGATTCCCCTGGAACTGGAGTTAAGGATGGTTCGTAGCCACCATGTGGATGCTGGGAATCGAACCTAGGCCCCCTGCAAGAGCAGTCAGTGCTCTTAAATGCTGAGCCATCTCTCCAGCCCACCCCCCCAATTTTTTTTTTACATAAATAAAAAGTACCAGCTGAGTGTAGTGGCACAGGCTTGGAATCCCTGCACTGGGGAGACTGAGGTGGGAGAATGGAGAATTCTTTGCTAGCCTGTGCAGCATAAAGACCGTTTAAAAAATGTCCAGGTAGACTGCCAGGGGCTGGTGGGTGTGTTACTAAGTCAGGAGTTATGGACAGGTGAGATGGTTTTGAGGGGTGTGAGAGTGCTTGTCCCTGAGCCTGACTACCTGGTTCAGTTCCTGAAACTTACGTGGTGGAGGTAGATTACAGACTCCTGAGAGTTGCCCTCTAACCTCCACTTTAAGTCAGGAGGTGGAGGTTGGAGAGATGGCTTAGCAGTTAAAAACACTTGCTGCTCTTCCAGAGGACCATACTTTGGGTCCTACACTCAGGTTACCTGTAACTTCAGCTCCAGGAAATCCAATGTCTTCTTTCGTGCACGCGCGTACACACACACACACGAATAAAAATAAAGACTGGAAAGCCAAGTGTGGTTGCACATGCCTTTGGACCTGGCATTCAGGAGGCAGAGGCAGGTGGATCTCTGAGATAGAGGCCAGCGTGGTCTATATAGTGAGTGCCAGGCTCTGACTAACCTGGAACTCAGTATGTAGGCCATGCTGGCCTTAAACTCACAGAAACCCACCTGCATCTGCCTCCTGAGTGAGAGAAGGGAAAAGCTGAGACCTGGTGCCAACCAGAGACGAGGCAGAACTTGCCTTCTAGGATGAGAATTGACATGTTTCTGACATTATTGCACCACCCTGTAGGACCGATTGGAGCCGAGACAATGGTATTTGTACTTGTGTTAATGGCCAGCTCTTTGTCCCTCCAGGAGACAGCATACCATTCAGGCAAGATGAGAATATGTGGGTGTACTTGACATAAAACAACTTTTGCCTTACAGGAGGGCTGTATGTTGAGCAGACTGTCACATCATGTTTCATGAATGTTGGCATACCCCTGGTGTCCTAAGACATACTTTATCCCAAAACATAGAGAAGCCTATGGCTTATGACATTTCTTTTTCACTTTATTTTACTATTTTATTTTTATGTATATGTTATGCCTGCATGTATGTAAGTACACCTGTGTCATACAATGCTCGCGAAAGTCAGAAGAGAGTGCCAGATCTGGAACTGAAGTAATGGACTGCTGTTATCTACCACGTGGGTGCTGGGAATTGAACCCAGGTCCTCTGCAAAAGCACCCAGTGCCCTTAACCACTGAGCTATCTCTCCAGCCCCTGGCTTCTGACATTTCTAACTGAAGATCAAAGGGATAAAAAAGAGCAGGACTGTTCACGTAAAACTGACAAGTACCTGGGGCTGAGCTGTTAAGAGCATGTACTGCTCTTGCATAGAACCTAAGTTTGGTTCCCAGCACCCATGTCAGGCAGCTCACAACTGCTTATTACTCTACCTCCAGGGAAACCAGCACCCTCTTCTGGATTTTATGGGTACTGCATTCACATGTATGTACATATGCACACACACACACACACACACACACACACACCATTAAAAAATAAATTAGGGGCCAGGTGTGGTGGCACGTGCATTTAATCCCAGCACTTGGGAGGCAGAGGCAGGCAGATATCTGTGAGTTCAAGGCCAGCCTGGTCTACATAGCAAGTTCCAGGCCAGCTGGGACTACAGTGAGACCCTGTCTCAAAAAAATAAATAAATAAATTAGGAGCTGGGCATGCTAGTGCATGCCTTTAATCCCAGCACTCGGGAGGCAGAGGCAGGTGGATCTCTGTGAATTCAAAGCCAGCCTGGTCTACATAGTGAGTTCCAGGCCAGCTGGGGCTACAGGGAGATCCTGTCTCAAAAAGACAAAATAAATTAAAATAAATAAATAAATTAGGCCAGCGTGGTGGTGCATGCCTTTAATCCCAGCACTCAGGAGGCAGAGACAGGTGGATTTCTGTGAGGTTGAGGCCAGCCTAGTCTACATACATAGTGAGTTCCAGGCCAGCCAGAGCTACATAGTCACACACTGTCTCAAAATTAATTAATCAGGGACTTGAGATGGTTCAGTGGCTAAGAGCACTGGCTGCTCTTGCAGAGGATCTGGGTTCGATTCCCAGCACCCACATGACTAACAACTGTCTGTAACTCCAGTTCCATAGGATCTGACACCTTCTTCTGACCTCTGCTGGCATTGCATGACATGGTACACTTAACATACGTGAAAGCAAGACATTCACACACATAAAAATAATAAATAAAAGCTGGGCATGGCGGCACACGCCTTTAATCCCAGCACTCGGGAGGCAGAGGCAGGCGGATCTCTGTGAGTTCAAGGCCAGCCTGGTCTACATAGTGAGTTCCAGGACAGCTAGGGCTACAGGGAGACCCTGTCTCAAAAAGACCAAAAAAAAATAATAATAAAAAATAAAACATTTTTTAAACCTTTAAAAATTAAACTGGCAAATGTCTCATCTGACAAAGAATGTATTTTCATGGGTATGCTAAGAATTTGTTTAGTTCTAACAAAAGGTTAAGACAGTTCATGAACTTGTGATATAAAGAAAGGAGAGGGAGGGGCTGAGGATGTGGCTCAGTTGGCAGAGTGCTTACCTAGGATGCACAAGGCCCTGGGTTTGAGTCCCAGCACTACATAAACCTGACAGATGGTGCACACCTGTAATCCTAGCCTTCAGGCAGGAGAATCAGAAATTCAAGGTCATCCATGCCTACATAGTGGGTTTAAGGCCAGCCCAAGTTCCGTGAGAGACCCCATGTCAAAAAAAATAACCAAAACCATTCAATTCCAACAGCAAGTGCAAACACACATATTCTTGATGCTGGAACACTAGAGGGCGCCACCCGCTGCTGCTCCCACCTGCTTACTGCTGCTAGTAGCTGTCAAATACCTAGGAAGAGCTAGGGAGGTGGCTCAGTGAGTAAAGTGCTTGCTGCTCAAGTGTGAGGACCTGAATTCAGATCCCCAGAGCCCACATAAGAGCAAGGTGTGGTGACCCCAGTGAAGGGACGATGTGAACACAAGTAGGTCCCAGAGGCACACTGGCTGCTCATCTAGCTAAAACAAGGGACCCAAGGTCAGTGGAAAAAAAAAAAAAACCAGGTGGAAGCAGGGCATGGTGCTGCACACCTTTAATCTCAACACCTGGGAGGCAAAAGCAGGCAGATTTCTGTGAGTTGGAGACAAGCCTGCTCTGCATAGTGAGTTCCAAGCCCACCAGAGCTATGAGACCCTGTCTCAAAAAAAAAAAAGATGGAGACACATGTCTCAATGGAGAGACATGTGAGGGGCTGGGGGCATGGCAGAGTGGTAGAACACCTGCCTAGAATCCCACAGTGAGGGGCTCGGTGGTAGAGTATTTGAGCATT